GGGGGGGGGGAGGTCGCCAAAATAATTTTTTGATACTAGTCGGGCAGAATTCGAACAGTCGGGCAATTTTCTTTCCGCCCCCCTAATTTTTTCCTTCCGCTACGCCCATGCCCTTTACAATTAAATTGTTTTTACACAATGCAATATAATGCATATATAGACATGCAACTGAAAGTAACTGTTTGCAGCATTGTTCCATCTTCACTTTATACTGTCTCTATAGGATCTAAAAAGCACAGAAATGAGATACCATTATTTTACAACTTTCAATTTCTTTCAAATTTATTAATTTTAATCTGCTTCTTTGGAATAAAACACCATTGAGGTCTTCTCAGAAGAGTGATAATTAATAATCATGACTATGACTTTAATAAGGAACATATTACACAAGCAGGGATGGTACGGTATATATTCTCATAAGGCATTGCGTTTAAGCACCCACCATTAACATAAATAAGATCACTACAACGCACCTGCTATTTTTTCTACCATCCTGAATCATTTGTTCCTTTAACAAATCCCACAAGCGACATAAATTGTTTGCGTTGATAGAAACAAATATGAGGTGATATGAGTATATTATGATCTTGACATCTTGTCCAATAAAAATTCACCATTTCCAAAACAATAAACTTCATGACCAATTTCTCATGTGTTAACTTATGGTATAATTCACCGATCTCTATCAGAAATTCCCATTTGAAAGGTGTTGTCACGACTGTATTCATGATTCATCTCAGTCGCACTCAGAAACGTCGTCAAAAATATAGACACGTTTCTTTACGATTGAGTTCATTTGAATGTAAAAGAGGTCCCCAATATTCTTGAACATGTGCTTTTGCTTAAAATACCATATTTGACTTGATTTGTTCCTCTATTGCGAGATAACAGAACAAAACAGTTGAAAATACCGGGGTACCGTATTAATCACAATAGCTCACTCCTCAAGGTGGTCACAGTAAGATGGCGGCCGCGCGCGACTTCCGGCTTCAATTTCTGTATCTATAGTTGCGCTCTCCATATATTTATAGCTCAGTGGGGTGAAATACGGAAAATACGCGCACCTGGTCCCGGATGTAGTGACGTACGAGTGTTCTAGTTTCCAGTAAAACACCATTGTCCATATAATAAAATGAAATAATTTGCTTTCCTAATTATTTTGAGCTTTTAAAATATTTCAAATACAATGAATAGAGCGTCTGCACCACTGATCTGAAATAAGACTGGATAACGCATCTATAGTATACGAAAGTGAAGCCGGAAGTCACCGGCCGCCACCCGATTCTGGGGCCCCACTTTTGTATAGATTTGTATTACAGACGGTAGTTTTTCGCGTTTTTTGCCTTGGCTACGTTTCCGATCGGGCCAATTTTACAATCACAACGATAGAAGCATACAAGAAGATTTTTGAGCAAAAAATTTGGAGTATTATGGCCTTATAACGCCGCGAAACGGGATTTACAACTCTGAAGGAGTAGAGAGCCTCAGACTTTGTTTATCAACACGAGCTCGTTTTGCTACTTTCATACAAAATCAACTCAAAATATACAAGAATTATTGTTACTGGACGAATATTCTCACGCAATTTGAAGAAATGAAGCAGCTGCATTGTGAACGAAAGCGTACGGAGGTTAGTTTTAAAATACTTCGAGGCTACTTCCATAATTATATGAATTAAAATAACATATTGAGGCGTTGTTTATAATTTGGATCAAAAATATTTCATTGTCACTTGTCTTCCTACTTTAAAACATATAAAACTTCTCGACCAGTCGCCTAGAAATGCTTTTGACAAAATTGACATTTAAAACTGTTCCTTATTAAATTCGTATAATTATAAAAGTAGCCTCAAGGTATTTTAAAACTAACCTCAGTACGCTTTCGTTCACAATGTAGCTGCTTCGTTTCTTCAAGTTTCCTGAGAATATTCGTACAGTAAACAGTAATTCTTGTATATTTTAAATTGATTTTGTATGAAAATAGCAAACGAGCTCGTGTTGATAAACAAAGTCTAACCTCTGTACGCTTTCGTTCACAATGTAGCTGCTTAATTTCTTCAAATTTCGTAAGAATATTCGTCCAGTAACAATAATTCTTGTATATTTTGAGTTGATTTTGTATGAAAGTAGCAAACCGAGCTCGTGTTGATAAACAAAGTCTGAGGCTCTCTACTCCTTCAGAGTTGTAAATCCCGTTTCGTGGCGTTATAAAGCCATAATACTCCAAATTTTTTGCTCAAAAAGCTTCTTGTATGCTTCTATCGTTGTGATTGTAAAATTGGCCCGATCGGAAGCGTAGCCAAGGCAAAAAACGCGAAAAACTACCGTCTGTAATACAAATCTATACAAAAGTGGGGCCCCAGAATCGGGTGGCGGCCAGTGACTTCCGGCTTCACTTTCGTATACTATAGATGCGTTATCCAGTCTTATTTCAGATCAGTGGTCTGCACTCATTCCCCTGGGACCAAGTCAACAAAAGCCACGACGGCGTTATAATTCAAAATAATTTTAATTAGACTCTTTTGTCTGGAACACCAACATGGCCGCCATGGCTTTTGTTGAGTTGGGGGAAGATGTGCATGTTTTAGGCAAAATCTGATCGAACAGCAAAGCCACACATAAACAGTCAAAACAAACTTAACCAACACTTCAGATCAGGATTTCCAATTCAGGAAGTTATTCTTATTGTTGCTTTAAAAATTAAAAAAAATATTTCACAATATATTGTGTGAAACGATTTCTTAAATATTTGCCTTCTTCAATCCTGGCAAGCAGTCATATTTTTGAGATCCGTGATGGAATTAGTACCCTCCGGGATAAATATTCAGGTACCTATAATCGAGTTGCAAACATATTGGGTGACCCCCCTCAAACTGTTCAGTATTGACAACATTTAATACATTCCATGTTTGGGCTTGCGTGTTTGCAATTTTAATGGCAAAGCGTAGAGCAAATTCCAAATTTGTATCGGTTTGCCAGATTTGCACGCGTGTAAACTGCTAATTTGCTCCTGCGTGCAAACCCTTTGCAAAGGTGGCAATGGCCGCGAAGCCGTAGGTCGCAAAGAATAAAGGCCAACCTTTTGCAAAACAATGAATTTGCAAAAAATTTGCTCGCGTGCAAAATTGATGCCAATCACTGTATTTGGAAAAGATTTGTCCGCATGCAAATTTTGTGCAAATCAAGAAATTTGCAGAAGTTTCGCCGTATGCAAATTTTATGCAAATTATGTATTTGCAATAGATTTGCATCGCGAGCAAATCTGAAGGAAATATGAAGTGTGCAAAAGGTTTGCACTGCCTGCAAATGTGTTGCAAAAATAATTAAATGAAGTTTGCGATGAATTTGCTTATCGTTCTAACAGAGAGAAACATAAAGTTTGCATATGGATTCGCATATGTGGCGTAAACTTATCGAAAACAAAATATGAGTTTGATGCGCAAATCCGCCGAAACATTAAATTTGAATAAGATTTTTATCACCTGCAAAGTTGAAAGAAATTTAACCTTTTCCCAATGTATTCACTACCTTGAAAGCTTATGCAAGCAAAGTGAAATTTGCAGAATATGAAAATGGCCTTAACCCTTGCATGTTCTGTCGATCCGGAGATGCTTTACAGATAGTTAATTATAACCATAACGAATGGTCGCTAAGGCGCAAAGATCAAAGATCTGTTTACCATTCGACTAAAGTATATACCCACTTTCCAGCATTGGTAAATTGTAAGTTTCTTTTAGATGACAGATACACCACTCAGCGCAATATTTAAAAACTTTGTATATTTTATATGAACCATATATGCATAAAACAATATTTCAACTATTATAATATATAATACGATCACTAACTAGTATATTATATAATAAGATTGGCTGTATATATCGCGCACATGCTAAGTGTTAATTGATGTCGCCGTAAAATCCACTCTCTAATATAAATAAGTTAGAATAACGTTGCTTTGATTCAACTTAATTTGGCTCAGAAGCAAGCAGTAATAATAAAAACAGTTTGAAAACAGTTATAAAACAGTTACAAGACAAATATTACTGGAGAACTTTCATCCAATTTGGAATGCCTGAAGGAGGATCGCATACTATAACTTGGCCCTCTTGACGTTTCATTGTCATCATTGTTGACTTGTCTGATCTTCTCCTTTGCGCTTTGCGGTCAAGGCTGGCAAGGAATTCACTGAAGCGTTTGCTTCTCCATGACAATGGCCGGACGTAAATTTTTTTGGTTTTTCGCCTCGGTTCCTGGCGCTCTTCTTCATCACTGCCGCTCTCGGCGTCACTGGCCTCGTCTGTTTCTGACTCCTCCGGCGACATGCACTCGGGGATCAGCCCTTTCTTCAGCTCTTGTCTGGAAGCGTCGTTCAGGCTGGCCGTGATGTCCACAGAGTGTTTTCTTCTGTGGAGTTTCTGTATAAAAGTAAAATTTCAAAAACGTTTGTTTACAATATAATTAATAAGTCAAATAAGAATGCAAAGACACACGTCAGCCTTATGAAACTTGCTAGGTAGGTTTGAAATGGACAGTGCTGCGTAAACTGGATTGGATTTTTCCGTCCTGGCTTCAAGGCAAACATTCTTACCAGGGCTATTTTGAAAACATGTTGAGGAGGGTCTACATTTATTGACAAAAGGTATCTATATTGCATTCTGTAGTCAGTTACATTGTTTGGCAAATTCTTACTCATATTAGGAATTCGAATATTCAGCTTTTATATTCTTCATGAAAGATCAAAATGTTTAAAAAAAAGAGGTCTAATATTTCACCTTTTTCAAGCCGAGGTTGCTAAACTGAAATGACCTAAATTGCAATACAACACGTACACTAATGAAACTTTCGGTTTGCTACTCCAGTATAATATGGTTTCTTTAGTTTTCGTGGTTTAGTTTACGCAGTGAGCCCACGGTACCTGGTGCACCGGAACAACATTTTTGTAATTGCTTAATTATAGCCTACTGGCCACAAAGATGAAAGAACCAGTGTTTGAAATGGGGCTCCGTCAAAGATCTCAGTTTTCCGTCAAGTACAAGTAACATGACGTCATTTAATAATATTAATAAGTTGACTTGCGAAGTACCGCACCTAATAAAAGTGCAATTCCGAACATTAGTGGCGAACTTTGGAACTTTATTTTGAAAGCACAGTAATGAAGTACTAATTTCGACAATAATGAAGGGACAAATCAACATCACGGTAACATAAATCAAAATCGTTCTCAGGGTTTTTCCTCTTGACCCTAAGGTAGGGGTTTGAGGTAGGGCATGTGTGGCGGCTTGCAACACGTGACGAAAATTTTACTCGAAAACAAAATTACCTAAAACTTGCCAAAACGCATTAGAATTGTTAGGGAAGCGTAAGTTTCTCCACGAAAATCGTGAGCAGTCGGCAGATTTTTAGAAACAGTCGACAGAAATCTTTGCCTTGTCGCACGTGAATAACAAGCCAAACACAAGCCTGACCCTGACCCTAGGATCAACTTCTCACGCTTAAACGAATATGGTGCTGATGCAAGAGTTGCTTTGAAAAATGAGATGTACAGGGCCCTTATATACAGAGCCCTGTTGGAAATTAACTACCGACTGTCAAACTATGATTATATAATATATTAATATACAGGTCAGAACAATTTGCGACTTCGCCACAAAACACGTGTAGTTGTCACGTGATCAAAAATCACGAAATGCGGACACTCATGAGCGTTAACCTATATCAATATAAAGCGGGATGCACAAATATTTCAACAATTTACGGTTGCATTTTTTTTGCGAATCAAGCTAGTCTACTTCTATCGTTTTTGTAAACAAGAAAAGAAAATAAGAATGGCTGGAGCGCAACATACGAACTTTATAGGGCGATGAACGACTGAGCGTAGCGGAAATAAAATATACATGAACACCTGCTTTTCTCAAATTTAGCTACAGTTTCTAAAGATTATCTGAATATTATGAATATTCAATCTCTACCTCATTGTATAAAAACTGTTCACCTTTTTGAATTTAGGATCGAGGAGTCTTTTCGACAGCAACTGCGATTCCAACTAGACTAGGTTTCAGACAACCATTCACACTTATGCTCCACCCTCTTGCAAACATTTTTTTATTTCGGGTACGTTCATCGCCTTACAGTTCATAGCTTGCGCTCCAGACATTCTTATTTTCTTGTTTAGAAAGACGATAGAAGCAAACTAGTTTGATTTCCAGAAAATTTACAACCGTAAATTGTTGAAGTATTTGTGCGTCCCGCCCTATATTTATATAGGTTAACGCTCCAAGTGTGGGCATTTCGCACACATTTCCCACACGTGTTTTGGGGCGAAGTCGCAGATTGATCTCATCCCTGAGCTTGCCTTAAGGCCTAGGCCTTTGATTTAGTTTTTTATTTAGTGCAATGACGCACATGTCCCGACAAAACCTTGACTAATACTTGAAGGAATAAAATCAAAGCCTGCATGCTAGTCCAGCCTTTAAGCTTAGCAACTGAATGTTCAATAGAGCATCTCATTGTGGTCCAATTAAGAATATTCATTTCCCGTATTCATTTTTCGTATATAATTTTAAAAAATTGTTCACAATTTAGTGTAATTTTCTCTCTGAATTTCGGTTAATCAAATTAATCCCATTTCAATTGCCGACGTATTCTATACGACATAAGAGAGTTTGAGCACACAACGAAGTACGAAGACGAAGGCATACTTGACAATTTTGCCGTATGTACATTATCTTGCGCATACTGAGTTGGACGTCACTGGTGGTTGCATAACGTATCTTCCCATGTGTACATCGCTGTTTATGAATACTGACCATAAATCTTGCCCTGATCCAGAACAAACAGCGAGAAATGAAACTATATCCCGTCTTTGTCCTTCTGCCTTCGTGCAGAACGAGTTTCACAACGTAATTTGCCAAAGTATTCGTTGTAAACGAAGGCAGAAGACGAAGACGGCATATGAATTCATGTCTCGCTGTTTTATCCTGATCGGGGTAAGGATTTGGGTCAGCATTCACAAACAGCTAGGCATAAATCTCTAATCTGTCTTCACTCCTGACCCTAAACTCAGAATGCGCAAGATAATGTGCAAGACAGGCAAAAATTGTCAACCACGTCGTCGTCGTCCGACTTCGTTCTCTTGCTCAAACTCTCTATATTCTATTGCCACGCACACAACATTCTGATATAAAAGCTAATTACGTAAAACTGTTTGAAAAAAATACCTTCGCTAGTCGAGACCTCCGTCTTTCACGCCTCAGAATGGCCTGCCTGCTGCCGTCCGCAATAGAATTCTGTTTTCTCCTTGTGGTGTGGAAGTGGGATTTTAGTGCTCCTATTTGAGAGACAAAACATATATTGCTATTTTTGGAATAACAAGATTTTTTCTAAATTATTCTGGAATAGGTTTTTATGCCCTGTATTAGCTTCAGAGTAGCTATATCGCACGAATTTATGAAATATTGACGTGGCTTCGCGATTTTGTTGAGCAGAGCCAGATTAGCGATGTTCGAATGGCTTCGATTTTTAATTTTTTTTTCAAAGGAACTTACAAAAATTACTTTATCAATAGACCTATATTCTCTTCTAGACGAACTTTTGGAATAAGAAAACTAATTCATCAATTCAGATTTCGAATGTGATATACAATAAATTTCCCCTAATTCAAAAGGTTGTCGAAAAGGGGATAATAATAATAACATCGAGAATGTTCGTCCATAGAGGTTGCAAGTAACCCTATACCCAAATTTGATGTTCGATTCATGTGATTTACTAATTCAGCGATTTAGCATGGTTATTAAGCCGTGTAGCAAAGCACAGAACACGTCACAAATAATATACAAAATTATTCTGGTTATAAATAATATATGGTAATTATACAAACTATGTCTTACGTCATCTATATAATGACTCTGAATGCCATACGCCAAAATGATCTACGTTTTTGGCTTTTTACCCATCTGCCAAAGCGCCAGTTTGCCAGAGCGCCAGTTTGCCAGAGCGCCAGTTTGCCAGAGCGCCAGTTTTGCCAGAGTGCCAGTTTCGCCAGAACGCCAGTTTACTAAAGTGCTAGTCAGTTTTGCCAGAGCGCCAGTTTGCCAGAACGCCAGTTTTGCCAGAGTGCCAGTTTCGCCAGAGCGCCAGTTTACTAAAGTGCTATAGTCAGTTTTGCCAGTTTGCCAGAGCGCCAGTTTTGCCAGAGTACCAGTTTCGCCAGAGCGCCAGTTTACTAAAGTGCTAGTCAGTTTTGCCAGAGCGCCAGTTTGCCAGAGCGCAAGTTTTGCCAGAGTGCCAGTTTCGCCAGAGCGCCAGTTTACTAAAGTGCTAGTCAGTTTTGCCAGAGCGCCAGTTTGCCAGAACGCTAGTTTTGCCAGAGTGCCAGTTTCGCCAGAGTGCCAGTTTCGCCAGAGCGCCAGCTTACTAAAGTGCTAGTCAGTTTTGCCAGAGCGCCAGTTTGCCAGAGCGCCAGTTTTGCCAGAGTGCCAGTTTCGCCAGAGTGCCAGTTTCGCCAGAGCGCCAGTTTACTAAAGTGCCAGTCAGTTTTGCCAGAGCGCCAGTTTTCCAGTGGCAAGTAAAGGAATTCGCTGCTTTTCTTTCAAACCATATCATATACTGAACTTAACTAAGCATACTGCTTTGTTTCAGAGAATTAAAACAGAAATTATACTTTGACGCAAAAGAAAATGCTGAAATATATTGCGATTTACGATTAAGTTAAAATTGCAATTCTATATACTAGATTATACATGCTCTTGCGTTCAATCTGGTTTGTTATGCGACCCGGCTTTGTCAGTTTGTCTTGCATATGCGGGTCCGTCCATCCACATTAAGGATTTAATTAAGAGTGAATACAAACGCGAAACATTCGCGCCGGGTATAGTCGTTACGCGCATAATACTATATAGCACATTAAAATATTAATTTAACATGCTTAATAGCTTTACGCAAAATAACTGAAAATTAAATGAATATATTTTTGTGAAGTTGAACTATTCAAAATATTTCATTATTTTTATGTTACTGATAATGTTTGATTACATGCGTGACACTTTACCAGCTCCATAGGCGTACCGGGCGGAGGGGCGGGGGGGGGGGGGGGGAGCCCCCCCAGTTTTTTGGGCAGT